GTGAAATATTAGTCCCTTTTCCACAAACACGGATCAAAGCACACAGGTCCATGAGCTGAGCAGTGTCCATCCAGTGTAGAACAGCAAGAAAAGCCTCTAGATTTAGGACAATAGCAAAAAGCTAATAGTTTCCTCTACCGACATACCCAAAATTTACAACCCTGGTCAGTCTTCAAAATAAGTAAAAAGATTTCATGGAACCCTAACAAATTTTAAATCAAACCACTCTCCTCCTAGGAAAGGGGAGGGTTAAATAAATGAAATGATCATCTTTTTGGTTTGTCTGTGATATTGGTATGTGTCTTAGGGAAATAAGCGTTCCTATTAAATCAGAAGTCATCTCTTTAGATATAACCTGTGCCAAATTATAAAGAAATAAAGTCCATTAATAAGAAATAGAACTGAAAACTCAATCCCATTCAATTACACCTGTTTTCTTTAAAAGGTGTCTGTGTCTAATAAAACTATCAAATGAGTTTATATTGAGTCTTCCTCTACATTGTCTTATATTTTTAAAATCAGATCTCAAACCAAAATTAATGCTTTTTTTTATACCTGAGTGAAGATGTTCTTCAACTCTAGTAAAGGAACACGATATTTAGAGGTTAAGTACATTAATAAAGATGTACAAGTGTGATCTGCATTATTTCCACATTCAGAACACACTTCTGATACAGTATGACGTTGAGAAAAATGGAGCAAGTATAAAAAGCCTTGCCAAAAAATCATTACTAAATATAGAGAAACAGAACCAAAGAAAAAGAGAGGTTAAGGTTTCTCATTATGGACCCAAGATAAGAATACCTTAATTCCCTAGAATGTTCTTATTGCTACAGTATTAACATAAACATAAATTTAATTGATAGCTGTATTAAAGAATGGTTATAATTAAAAAAAACAAAAAATTATCAAAGTACTACAAAAATTAGGATTCCCAATGAAAACAGTTTTAAGCCATGCCTAATTTCATCCCAGATGACTTAGAAAACAGAAAACTGCAGACATTTTTGTCACGTTTTCTTTTTCTGTTTTTTAAATGAGAGGCCTTTTCTATGGATCACAGTTACCAAGTCCACCTCTTCTAACTATATACAGCCATTCATAACCTTGGCAAATATATAAATTTTGGCCACAAAAATTTCTTTACAGGATTTAAAATATCAGATAGCCTAAGATTTCACTGGAAGTGATGTTATGATATGATGTATCTCATATACATTTTAAGTAATCAAGAACCAGTTTGTAGCTTCCTGCTTTGTAAGCTGGCTAATCATTTTTCTTTTAAGGGTAAATAATGCTCTTTTTTATTACATTGCATTATGTTCTATAAAACTAAAGTTAAAATACCATTAATGGAATTCAGTACAAATGTGGACATCATAAAATCTTATGTGAATAGACTTAAATATTCCTTTTGAGACTGCTGTCTGAATACTTATCTCACAAAAATCTAGTAACAAACTGAATTGTAAAACGGCTTATTTCACTTTTTAAAAAGACCCTTCCCCCACAATATATACACGTTTTGTTCCCAGTTATGAAAATATTTGTCACCCAATAGAAACCATTTCCTAAAATCAAAAATGAAACTAAATGTATTAAAGAACCAAAAATATTTCATCATTTAACAACGTGATTTAAAAGTATTTTTTGACCTATAGTCAGGCAGTAATTTAATATTTTGGACAAATGACTGTTTCTTAGTATAATTGTAACTACTACTAAATAATAATAGCCTTCCAAAAAGAAAAGGAAATAAAAAGTGTAAAAAAGACACATTCCACATGTTATACAGTAAACTACCTAAAAGAAATTCGTGAATCTAGGTCATATGTGTGTCATTTTCTCCCCCTCAAAAAAAAAAAAGTATTCCCGGGGGGGTCACACTGAGGACATAATGGATTCACTCTCATTCCAAGAAAACAAAATACTTAAAATGATTGGTACCATTAAGAACTAATACTCTAACATGGACCTACATCTGCCTCTAACTTCATTCGTTGCTAGTTTATAAAGATGTGAATTTTAAACTGCCCCTTTAATAGCAAGCTGACAAAACAAATCTTTTTAAAATTAATTATGTGGGTTTATTTACACAAGGCTTCTCTATAATGTTTTTAGTTGTGTGAAGCAAAAAGAAAAACTGAAATTGCCCGTTTTCTATCAAGACTAGAAAAATATATTGTCCTTAAAAGTAAAATTCCATTAACTAAAGATTTAAAAGCAGTGGGCACCAATGTTCAGCCTAGGATTCACACGATTATTTGTTAAATTCAGCCCTTCATTCACTCTGACAAGATATTATTACTAAAATACACTTTCCTAAAAATAAATGAACTAAATAAAAATATACATACAATCACTGTTATTCCCTTCTAACACATTAGATTTTTTAAACTTTCATATAGCATTAAAATATCTATGAAAGAAAAATTTGGGGGAAGCAACACACTGAGCACAACTTGCTTATAATATAGTTTCCCTAATTCATTGTGTAAATAGTTCAAAAAAGGCTCATATTACCTAATCCAACAAAATAATCAAGGAAAAAAGATTCTTGGGGCATTTCTGTATTTTCCAAATCAAACACAAACATAAAATGATTTTAAGTGTTTCACAGAAATATCCATTTTTTCCCATTTTAGCTAGTTGTTCTCTGGAAAAAATTATTATGTGGTTTTCTCATTTCATGTTTTAAAATATGCCAATTCTACCTAAAACTCCTTATCCACAAATATCTTAAATGGTCAGAATTGTTAAACACAAATCACTAGAAACATACCTTAAATCTTGTTTAATAAATAAATATCACCAAAAAATAAATATCACCAAAAGATATTGCTGCATATCAAAATCTTGAAATTTTTAACATTAAACTGTGTGTGGAAACAATTCAAATTTTTTCACAGTTGAATTTGTGAAGGATAGACTTTCACAAAAGCTTTACAAATCCAAAAATTGGTGGTTTACTTTTTTCAATGGTCTTATTTCAACCCACGATTAAAGTCCCTGGTAAATATGTAATGTGCATATTGTAAGAGTGTCATCAAAGACCTCAATTTTGTAAGTGCCCAATGGACTAGACACCAGGGTAATGTTTTTCTGTATTTAATCCTCTTATTAATAACTATGATTCATAAAAATTTAAGCCTTAAATAATATTGAACCTTACATCTGCTTGCAATAGAGCTCAGTTATTATTTGTGGCAAGAATTTTTGTGACTGTACTGCTCAGCACTTCTATTTACATCAGCAGTGCTAAATGCCCAATGGTGAGAGGGGAGCCAATCAGATGGCAGATTAGATGTCAACTCAGAGGCAGCTGTCTGGAGACTATTACAGCCAGTTTACCTCCACAATTCAAATTCCAAACCTTGCAAAGGAGATCAAGTCAGTCTTTAGGCTCAGCCTACTAGCAAGAAACAGCAAGAGTGAAGGACACTTCCTAATAGCTGTGCAGGATTTGGATGACAGCAAAATAAAGAAAATCCAAATAAATACGATCCCAAAGATCCATTTTCAATGCTCTGCTATTTTACTGGGTTTGCTGAATAAAATGTATGCCTAATCCACGATTAAAATAAGTTCAATTGATCCGGAATGTGTTCCCTGAACACAGCCTCTCTGCTGAAGGTGACTCCTTTCAAGCAGCCCGTAAGCCCAATAATGGATTTCCCTGGCTATTCTTAGGAACGAATCGATGTATTTTAGAATATTTTACCTCCACGTCGTTGTAAGTTTTGGTATTATTCCTGCTAGTAAACATTCGAACTCGAAGCCCGCATCGAGTATCTCCGAACGGCTCTACACAACTATGAAAAACCTACTCGGTTGTCACAAAGCTAACCTATTTTCCCTGCCCGCACCTTGGAAGCTGAGAGGGAACGGACTGTGGCTAAGGTGGGAGAAAGTTCCTCATTCTTTCCCCGGTTAAAGCACATTGTTGGCGCTACCAGAGCCGATCCGGTCAATATTCGCCCCCGGCCGTTCTGGCCGAGAGAGCCTATTCTGTTACAAAAGCACCCGAGCCGTCCCCACCGCCCCAACGGCTTCCTCGCGGGTGGCGCCCTGGAACCTCGCCGCGCGTTCTGGGCCTGGGGGATGGGGTGGGGGCGAGGGTGCGGGCCGCCCAGAGCCCAGGCCGCCGGCGCGGCCCCGCGGAGTCCTCCCCGGCCTGGACAGCGCGGCCGGCGCGGGGTGCGCCCGGCCTCGGCGCGAGGCGGCCGCCAGTCAAAATGGCTTTGGGCGCCGCGCCCCCGCCGCCCCCGCGAGAAGAAGGGGAAAAGTACACGGCAAAGAAAGAAACTCAGGCTCGCGGCGCGGGGAGGCCGCCGGGCGGAAGCAGGCCCGGCCGGCGCGGGGGTTACCTGGGATCTGCCCATGGTCGGTCCGGGGGTGCCGGGGCTCATCGCCGGGTGACTCCTTTGTTGAGCGGCCGCCCAGGCCGGGCTGGCAGCGGCGTACTGGGCGCCCATGTCCTTGCCCAAGCCCATGCCCGCGGCCGCCTGCTGGCCGCCCGCCGCCGCCCCCGCCGCCGCCGCCGCCTGGGACTGGGGCTGCGACGGCGGCGGCGGCGGCGCGCTGGGGCTGCTGTAGTCGGGGTAGCTGCCGCCGTAGCTCCGCATCATGGGGCTGGGCGAGGTGAGCAGCTGGTTGAGGGTCGGGGTGGCCCCCGACGGGTGCTGGTTCTGCCCGGCGAAGCGCTGGAAGCCCCCCGCCGCCGCGCCGGCGGCCGCCTTGCTGAGGCTCGCGGCCCCGCCGCCCCCGGGGCCCATCATCATGCCGCCGCCCTGCTGCCGGGGGGAGCTCAGCACCCCGTACCCCGAGGACGAGCCCCCATAGCCGCCGCCGCCGCCTCCTGCTGCTGCTGCCGCCGCCGCGGCCGCCGCCGCCACAGCTCCCGCTCCTGCTCCTCCTGCTCCTGCTCCTGCTCCTCCTCCTCCTCCTCCTCCTCCTCCGCTGCCTCCTCCTCCTCCGCCGCCGCCGCCGCCGCCCGCGCCGGGCCGGCTGTAGCCCGGATAATGGTTGTACTGGCTGTTGGGGTACCCTTCGTGGGAGTTCTGCAGGGGGTCCATGCTGCTGGGGGCCCCGGCGGCGGCTGAGGTGGAGTGCATCATCCCCATCCCGGGGCTTTGTTGTCCGCCATGTTGATCAAAGCAAGGCCCAGCGCGGCCGCCGGGGCCGCCGCTGGCAGGGGCAGCGCTGCCATAGTAATTATTAAACTCCGAGACGGCCGCCGGGCCGCCGCCGCTGCCGCCGCCCCCGGGCACGGCGACCGGCGGCTGCTGCGTGCCCAGGGCGCCCAGGCCCGGGTGCTCGTAGCGGCCGTCCGCCGGCTCCCCCATCTTGGGCGGCGCGTCGTCCTCGTCGCCCGGCTTGCTCAGCAGCGGCTGGCCCGGGGGGTCGGCCTGGCTGCCCGCGGCACTGTCCTTGGCGCCTCCATGTTGCGGCTGCTCCATGTCGGGGCCGGGCTGAGGCGCGCCGCCACCCGCGCCGCCCAGGCTGTTGTTGTTGGAAATGGGATGTTGCTGCTGCTGCTGCTGTTGCTGCTGCTGCTGCTGGAACTGGTTTAGCTGCTGCTGTAGTGCGTGGTGGTGGAGGTGGTGGGCATGGTGGTGGTGGTGGTGGGCATGGTGGTGGTGGTGGTGCTGCTGGTGGGGCGGTGCGGCGGGGGCTTCGCCAACGGTTTTCAGTTTGTGGTTGGGGAGCAGCCCCGTCTCCATGGCCGAGCCCGGGCCCGACGAGGAGGAAGAAGAGGACGCCGCCGCGGAGGAGGAGGAGGAGGACAGCGCGGCGGCGCTTCCACCCTCCTTGAGAGCCGCCTCGGAGCCGCCGCTCTTGGCGCTGTTAGTGCTGGCGGCGGCGGCCGCGGCGCTCGCGTTATGGGCCATGTTCAGTTCGTGACGGGGGTGCAGGGGGTGGTGGTGCACACTATTCAGGCCGCCGTCGCCGCCGCCCCCCAGCATGGGTCCGTTTGTCCGCCACGCCGCTCGCTTTTGCTGGCCTCTCTTGCCTCCAGGTCCCGGCCCGGGCGTCTGTCTTCTGTTTGTTCCGGGTCTGTGTTCTGTTCTTCTCTCCTCTTGTTTTCTCTCTGTCGCCCGGCCGCGCCGCCGTCTGTCTTGTCCCGGTGCGTGTTCTCCATTGATCGCCGCGGCGTGGCGCGGCCGGGCGGGGGGTGGGGGGAGACAATAACCCCCACTTTTTAGTCCGCGGCCCCTCCTGTGCGCATCCACGCGGCCCGCCGGGAAGCCGCCGACCCCCTCCCCCTCCGCAGGCCCCGCCGGAGAGCCGGGCCGGGGGCACGCCTTACGGTCTGGGCCTGTTCCCGCTGTGTGCTTTCATGGTGAAAGTTTTTAGCTCAGGTTTAAATGAAACTTTTCTCTTTTCCTCTCTAACCCGGATATGGGCAAATACACGACTGGCTGAGCCTATCGGGCCCAGCATGGCATGAGAGGGAGCCGAGCGAGCTAGAGCAACTATTATCCACTTCTCTCTGATTACTCCTGTGCACTCGCAAAACGCGGACTGGACTCGTCCCCGGGCCGCCGCCGCCGCCCGCCCCGGCGCAGCCTTGCGGGGCCGGCCGGGCCCGGGGCCGGGGCCTGGGCCTGGGCCTGGGGCAGGCGCGGCGGCCGCTCGGAGCGCGGCGGCGTGGGGCGGCCGGAGCCTGCACTTTCCCCTCGTGCCTCTGTCTCCTTGCCAACCGGGCGTTCGTGTGTTTGTTTTCACGTCTAAAAGGAACGATACAAAGGTGGAAAACGAGTCTGACGAGCAGACAAAAGAGGGAGAAAGGCTGGGGAACAAAGTTGTCTGTTGGCCTCAGAGGTTACATGGAGCCGACAGAGAAGGAAAATATTTAGGCAGTCTGTGCAAAAAAGCACTGTCTCTCCCAGGAGTTATGTAATTTTTCAGAACGTTAGTCTCCCTGCCTTGATTTTGGGCCATCAGCGTAATTCCCACAACTTCTTCCAACTGCAAAATTAGGAAAGCTTTTTAAGTGAAGGTTAGCCTCATTCAAAGAGCCCTGTGACCTGTACACAACAGGTACTCAATAAATGCTTATGATTAATAACTGCACCTGCGCCAAAGATAATGTTTATATAACTTTTTTAAGGCAGCTTAAATATGTATGTAGGCTTATCAATGAGAGCCTGAAGTATTCCCAAAGGAGCATTTTCCTGACAAAGCACTTGGATGTCGTCTCTCAAATATGTAGAGTAGTATGTTATGCTCCAAACAACTTTCACGTGAAAATTTAACTGTTGGTGCTAAAATAGCGACAGTTAAGGTTTATCTCATATCTTCATAAATCCATATGACACCTTTCATCATATTTCGGAGGTTAATATGCACAGTTAACCCTCTTGATATGAGTTCATTTCTAAGTAATGTGAAACAAAACTAAAATAGACGTTATAGTTAATAAAAATAAGATCAATAATAATATAAATACAATTTTAATCCTAAAGCAGAAATGTTCTTTCTGTATTTTGTTGTCTAAAAAACTGTATCTGTTTTCTAACTTAATAACGTCTTAAATGTTTTTATTATTTATCACCAAGATAATTTTGAATTATCTTTAATAGCAAGGCTTCTTTACCTTAAGCATTGGCTCACTTGTACTAGTGTGGACTCAGTTTTCAATGAAAGAAAACATTTGAAACCAGGGTTTTCCAGAGGTCACACTGGCAGAAATAATATGATTTTAGTAGAATGTAGTTTTCCAAATTATTTCAGTTTTCAGGTTTTCATAGAAACTATTTTAGTTCATTTCATCTACAGTGGTTGTTTGCTTGACCAAGTATAAATATGTTCTATGACTAAATAGAAAAGGGTAGACTGCAAAACTGGTGACTAATTGGGGGTGGGGGGAATCAGGTGCACACCCAAGGGTCATTATGGAGTGTAGAAACAACAAACTGCAATTCTGTGCAAACAACTGGAAAACCAGGGGTATATCATCATGTGTAAGACAGAATAACACAACCATAAGATGAATTTGTGCCAAATCATTCATCAGTTTTTGCCAAGAGAATACTACATCTTTGTTAGTGTGCCTTTTTGACATTTTTTCCTGGATTTTCTCCCTTTATATATTGAAATACATACTAATTATACACATTACACCACATAAGTTGAATTTTTAAAGTTTTTCATATGCAAATATAAATATACGTCTGTTTTGTGTATGTGTCTATATACGTATATTCTAAAATCAATTACATATTTATGCTTTCAGACATTTATAGTCAAACTAAATATATACACATAATCATAAAAGTACATTTTTTAAATTGATAAAATATATCAAAGTCAATTCATACAAGTGTAGCCATATGTTGTAGCTTATTTTCACAACTAGTCCTAAAAGGGAAAATGAGTCACCAAGTTCAGCTATGGCCCTTTTCTTAAAAATATTTTTTCACATCAGAAAATCAGGAAACTTAAAAAAAAAAAAAAAAACTAGGTATATAAGTCAAAATCTCTTTTAATTCCATTTGCTTCAGCAAGTCAACTAGAAGATTGGAACTAGGAGGCTATAAAATAGAGGCCCCCAGCACAATGAAATCAGTCTGCTATAAAAGGCGACACATGCCAGTTTTTCCTCCCCAATGGCAGATGCCACACCCTAAAGCAGACAGAAGGCACTGCAGCCTGTAAGAGAAGCACAACACAAAGCCGGCAGGACTTGGTTTTGTCTTTTAAACCACCGAGAGTGCTAAAATACCTTTTTAAAGCATCTTTACTGAAGATAAGTAACACACTCTTATTTTTTCCACTTACACTTTTCCAACACACCTTCTCAGGAAAACAAAGTAAAAGCCTCCTGTAGTTTCATTAAAAAATCTAGGGCTTAATAAACAAAACTGCAGTTGCCAGGGGTCTGATGTAAAGTGATAAAACAGGTTCACATTCCACAAAAGCACAATTTCTACTATAGATTACAATTTCTATTGTGTTCCTTGCCTCAGTTATCCTATATGGCAATTCTTTATTGTTTCTTTTTTACGAAGTAAGGTCTTAGGAATCGCTGTTCACTTTTCCTAATGAATTCCTTAATTTTACATCTATTGCCTAAATTTCAAACCACAATGAAAACTTTAATAAGTCACTCTAACCACAAAGCAGCCGTGGAGGTGAAGGCCTGAAGCCTACCCACAGCCACCTAGCCCCTGAGCAGACCTCCCACCCACAGGGTGCTCCCCACGCCTTCATGTTTAGCCAAAGGATTACCCATTATTTAGTTAAACATTCCTTTTTGGTTACAAAAGAGGTTTTTTTAACTATATGGAAATATTAATATTCAAATACTGTGCCTTTTGAATAAGTTCTAGGGCACTGAATAAAAGGCTCTTCAACTTGCCCTCTTAAAGAGGATTGAGCCAGATGGTTGTTTAAGAATTCCACAGTTCTGTTCTTTTTGCCTCATCGTAACCCATCGTACTCTGTTTGCTTTCAGATTAGTCCCCTTTTACTGTTCTACTTATTTATTCGATGACTGAAACTATCACGATTCACTGCCCATCATATTTCTCAGTATTCTTTATGTAATTTGGAAGCAATTTAGAATAAAGCCCTGTCAAGGTTTTACAAATAAGAACTATTAAAGAATAAAGCTTTGGATACTTGCTTTCCTTTTAGATTTATGAGAAATGCGATGAATGGAGCTAATGGGATTTCCCTACTGATCTTGGTCAGGGACTTTAAAAAGCACTAAACAATTGTCCTTTTCACTTCTCCGATTTAGACGCTAGCATTGAATAACTCTGAGTCAATGCAAGATATGGGACATAGCATTTGATTTGAAGCAACTATGCAAATTAACAGTGGCCCCTAAGTTCAGAATACAAAACAATTAGGTAGGATATGAAAACAAGGTAGGCAAAAAAGATTGAAATAAATTTGGGAACTATGACAAACAGTAGCTCGGTTATGCTTACTCAGAAAATTATTTTGAGGATAATAAACTTGGATGGGGATAAACTACACTTAATCATCTGACAAATTTACCTAGAATCTACTTTGTGCCATGCCCTGAAAATAAGAAGATAACTATTACCTTGGTCCTCTCCCTAATATGGAAGATAAACAATTAAATTAAA